AAAAAAAACGCACTCTCTAACATGTGACAGATATTTAGTTTATATAAACATGCGTATTAAATTAGAAAGAAAAAATATTGCGTAAATATATTCTTGTGCGTATACGATACGGATGAATGCTTGAAATGCAAAAGAAAAGAATACGTCATGTTTGTTTGTTTATATCAAAAAGAAATATTAATCTAATAATAAAAATTTTCCAATAAGGTTTTCATTCATTAAATATAAACGAAAATTAATTATCTCTCCTGCTTCATCTTGTTCTGACACATAATGCTATTTTTAGTTAAAAAAAGACTCGACATTTTTTTTAATTGAAACTGATAAGAATTACTATATACTATTTGATGATAAAATCATTTGATATTTATGTCTATAAGAATTCGTAATTGATATTCAGTTTTATAAAAACAAATATTGATCTTTCAAACCTTCATGTTGTTACCTTGACAGTTATTTTTTGATAACACATTAATAGAAAAATTAAATTTGACCTCATATCGTACCGATAAATGATAAACTGAAATACAGCTGATAAATTATCAATTCTACATTCATGAAGGTTATAAAAATAATAAAATGAAGAAGGACACATATTTTATTTACATACTTTTGTCACAATTTCTATGTATTGGTCTGTACGAGTGTCCCCTTTCGAAAAGCGATGATATGTATAAAAAAAAACGGTACTAAACTAACAAAAGTTTCTCTTCAGTCAACTGCAATTCATCATTATTATTTTATAATAATCATATAAAATACTTTTTTTTCTCGTTGCAACAACTCACGTAAGAATAATTTTCTTATCAGAAGAAATTATATGATTCGAGATAAAAGGAAGATTTTATTGTTTAGTTTGTATAGAAACGTCTTTTTTGACTATAAAATTTACAGAACATGTAAGAAATATTTAATAGCGCTAGTTTATTATAATACTAAGTAGTTTTAAAAACTGATAAAAACATACAGTTGAAGAAAATATTGATTTTAGTAGAGGAAAATTTAGTCTGTTGATGGTTTTTGTGAATCTCGACCGATAAAATGTTTTGGTTCTTTGGCCAATGATAATTTTTTTGCTTGATCTAATACTGGTCGTTTGTTACGATGACGTGCTTCCAATTTAACTGTTTTTCCATTTGCTTTAAGTGATTCTTTAATAGCAAGAATTACATGTACATCAAGTAAACCTTCTTCACCATCAGCTTCAGGATCAGTATTATTTAGAATACATTCAGAAAAATATTCTGCTTCACCACCAAACTGATCTGTTTCTGGAAAGGTTTTTGAATCTTCTTTACCATCGATTTTTGTTTTATAAGCAATTTTTACACCACTACCCCATGTATAAGCAGGATTGACTTCAATATCGCCTAGAAATAATAAAAGTAATGACGTTATTTAAGTTTCTTTTCAAACAAATATCTAATAATATAAACTAATCATGATTTAAATATCATACCTTTAGTACCAACAATTTTATAGCAATCAGTGCCAGCAGCAGCATAACTAACAGTGAATTGAGCAACACGATCACCAGGAAATCGAAGTGTAACACTGATTGTATCGTGTTCCATTTTAAGAAATTCACGACCTGGAGTTTTGAATCCAATAGCAGTAACTTCAATTGGTTCTAAACCAAATATATTTCGAACTGCATTGATTGGATAGGTACCTATGTCTGGAATTGGACCACTATCAAAGCCTGAATGCAATAAAAAAAAACAATATTAACATAATTGATTCTTAACAAAAAGAAAGAATTTCTATTGAATAAATAATCTATTCAAACTACTATCTTCTTAAAACAACATTATTCGATGTTGTAAACATATTTTACCATTTTTAGCACGATGATTTTCAGGTTTTAAATCTTGTGTGAATACGGATGAAAAGATTCTTGGATCACCAAAATCTCCTTTACGAACTCGATC